TCAATAAAACTTAATGATGAATTAGACATGGGGTGTGTAAGACACAGGAGTCAGGGATAACTCCAAAGTTTTTCATCACGCTCTGCTGGCAGAGTCTGTACCGAGCTGCACTTACTAACCCAAAGGCAGTGGCTCTGTGTAAGAAAGATGGACAATATTCTCCTACGTAATTTACAGCCTCCAAAAATCTGCTGGAGGCCCAGCTATGAGTGGGCTCTGAATTGACAGCAATGAATACGTGTGTGATATGAAGAATGAAATAATATTTTCTGAGATAGCAGAAAACTATAAAATGAAAAGATGTGGAAACACAAATCTTTAGTTTTAAAAATGCTAAATGTGAGGGGCAGATATTCTAGACAATTAGAAATATTAGTGTGATGCTCTGTTGTAAGAATAGGAGAGTCCTGAACATGGCTACAGAAATAAATGGAGACAGTAAAGAAGAAAAAGCTAAATGGACACGAGGAGGATATGCAATATTGCGGAAGAATCAGGAGAACTGAACTTGCAAAGAAGTTACATGATGTAAATTAAAGTGGGAGGTGGTAAGGAGGGAAAATGAAGAACAAAGACAAGGCACTTAGGCTTAGGAGTATGGCAAGACATTAGTTAAGGAAGCAAAGAAAACCACAAGTAGGTGATGAGTAAGAATAGCTTAGTATCACAGAAGTGAGGAAACAATTCTAAACATGAGCTGCTGCTGCTCAGATCTGCATCTTGCCTGTCCTGTCATCCTCATTTGTGCCACACTGGAGCCCACTGTTACAGTCACTGTGTCAAACCACCTCGTTAAGGACCTTCCCTTCCTTCTCCCACCATCTACTTTTTTGAACATGATGTCTTTCCCTAAAGACTGACCCCTCTTAACAAGCCCAAAGTTTGTGAGATGAGATTTTACCACCCTCCTATCTAAGGAGTATCCTGGATGCACTCACTTCAAGACGTATCTGTTCATTCTTTTGGAAGTCCAGTGGTTATTTAGTGGCCTTCGTCAGTACCACAACTGAAAGGCATTAATTCTTCTTCTCATGTATTAATTAAATGTCCAACTATTTAAAAGATCATGGCTTAGACAAGGTGCACACTTGTCTTTAAAATTATAGCCTTGCTCTAATGCACTTTGGAAAGCTCCCTGACAGTGGACTTATCAATGCAACATGTCTTCTAATATCCTAACTGCTGGCATCAAGGATGTTTACTATGGATCCAACTAAGATAAAATCACTGACAATTCCTATATTTTTTCCATTTATCATGATGTTGCCTACCGGCCCAATGGCAAGGATTTTGCCTTTTTTGATGGTGAGCCATAATCCATATTGAAGGTTAACCTTAATCTTTTGCAGTGTTTCTAGTCCTCCTTACTTTCAGCAAGGAAAGTTGTGTCATCTGCATAATGTAGGTTGTTGATGAATCTTCCCTCAATCCTGATGACATATTCTTCTTCATAAAGACCAACTTCTTGAATGATTTGTTCTGTATAAAGATTAAACAGGTACGGTGTGAAGAACAATGTATATGAACTTTGACTGACTGGAAGAGATCGATATTTGTACCCATCCCAAAGAAGGGTGACCCAAC